CCGCCAGTTCCGCCCCATGTCCACACAGGAGCCCAGCCAGAACCTGCCCACCATATCTGAGCCCAACAGTGTTCACAGCCCGCTCTAGCACAAAGCCATGCCTAGTTCCCAAGCAGCCAAGCCTCTACTCCACAGCTTTTTGAGTGAGCTGGGGCCCCGAACCCGCTGCATCTAGGCCCCGTGATGCTCACGGGCCGCCTAGCCCTCTCAGCGGGGCCCTGGGTCCCCGAAGTAGCAGCTGTGCAGCCGCTGCCTGCTGGACTCATTGCAAGCTTTCTGCTGCCTGCTGCCTGTGCTCTGGTCAGAGAGAGCAAGGAAGCAATGTTAGGTTAGTCTGTGCCAGTTCAACCACCGAAGGGGTCTCCATCCCTTCGGCTGGCAATCGGCCCACAAATCCCAATGCACACACAAGCTCAGGCATAAAACACTCACACATGTGGCCACAGTTCTCACACATTTATACATTTATGAAGGTATAACAAATAACACTGACGAACAAGATAGGCAGACAAAAAGGAAGAACAAGGGCCCTACAGATGGTCCAGGCAGACGAGAGTCCGGAGAGGGAGCCTCGATAATGCCAAAGACCTACAGATGGGACAGGGACAATTCAACAGAATCTCCCGATCCCCAGATGGATCCAAACAGACAGACCCCTCACGGGCATCTCCCGATCCCCAGACGGATCCAAACAGATGGACCCCTCACGGGCATCCTAACAGACGGACCCCTCTCGGGCGTCCTATGACTGGGGGACCTGTGAGGACCCCTGCGTCCTGATGAGGGGTTGGAACGTCTTCCAACTCCTCCAGCGTCACCTTACAGGCGCGTCCGCCAAGGTGAGCCTGTCAGATTCAACCGCCGGCTTCGGATAAAAGAATGAAAGTAACAGGAAAACAAAGACAAGAAAATGGAGCGCTCTTACCGATCGGTGCAGATGGACCTCCGGAGCTCTTAGGTGTCCCGGCGGGGGGTCTCTGGGGATCCCGGAGAGCCCCAAAATGTTGTGCCCAGATCGTGACCCCCAGAGAGACCACCAAAGACGAGCATGCCGGAATGCAAAAGCAAGGTTTAATTCTGGATATCCAAAAGCAATACAAGCCTAGGCAGAAACTTCGTCCAATACATCCAACGCAGTGGAGGCTGGAGGAAGCCTAGTCACAAATCTTAACAAGCTTTAAACACCCATGATGAAATGGGGACCATTTACCTTCGTCTGTCACTGTAATGGCTCTTCTGGGCTGATTTGGACACTACATCAACTTTTCATTTAACTTTAGAAAAAAAAAAAAAGAGGGATTGTCTTGGGCGCAGCTCCTATGACTCTGGAGTTTTTCTTTCCTGTGAAAACTTTAGAACTATTTGTTCAGAAACTGTAAGTATGCACCATACTTCACAGACTAGTAAGCGTTGGTACGCTTCACAGAATTCCCATGTGCTTCCCTCATACATTCTGCAATCGCAGTAGGTGGGGAACCTGTGAATAATGTTCAACAACAAAAAGCCTTCAGAAAAATGCCCTGTGAAGAAAGGAAGCTCATCCACACAACTGAGTATTTCTGCTTCGGGCTCATTGCTCTAACTATTGAATCCATTAGTAAAATTTCAGATTGCTTTCAAAGTCAAGGCCGCCCTCTTTCTACCTGAAACATCTGACTCGACCTTGACGTTTGCCGATTGTGTCTTAGCTTCAGCCACGAGCCAGGAGGCAGGCAGCTCAGGTGGGTTTGTGACAGGCAGACCTGCTCTGGATGCTGATGCCTGCTCTGGCTCGCCCGCCCCCTCTCGTTCCTCTGCAGAAACAGTGCCGGCGCCTGTGGTGCACCAGTGCCGAAGGCGTCCACAAGGGCTGTCGCACACAGCACATGCCGCTGGCAGACGGGACGAGCTGTGGGCCTGGGATGGTAGGTTTTCTCAAAGGGTGAGTCTTGTATCCAGAGTGTCTGGAATGAACCTCTGCTCTGCATCATGGCAGCATTTTTCATGATTTGCTGTCAACCGTTGCTCAGCTAGTTATTTTATTGCCGTGTTCGTTGGATATCGTATACTAGCGACGGAATTAAATGTCTAATTTTAACTTTGTTTCTATAACTAGTCGATGGGTCTTAAGTTATATATAGTTATATAAGTAACGACATGGGCATACATATTGTACTTATATTATTAAAATAAATACAGACCTCAGAATGCTGGTACGTCAGCAGGTTCCCCTAGTTACATAGATGTTTCCATCGCATTTGTTTTCTTCCTTAAACTTTAATTGAATATAAGTGAATGTGTTAAATGGTTTCTTCAAATCTTTATTGGTTCTAAATATATTAAAATGCTGTTTACCCGTAAATGAAACATGTTGTAGTATAGTTTGGAGGGTGGCAGTGTGATAGTTCCAGCATGGTTCTTTCTCAGGATTGCTTTTGTGGTCTTTAGTAGTTCCATTAGAATCCTTGGGTTGTTTTTCTCTAGTTCTGTAAAGAACGACATGTGAATTTTGATGGAAGTTGCACTAAATATGTAGATTGTTTTTGGTAACCTCGCCATTTTTGTGACATTAATTCTGCCAGTCCAGTGGCATGGAAGGTCTTTCCATTGTCTAATGTCTTCCCTGACTTCCTTTTTCAAAATCCTCATGTTTTCATCGTAGAGATTTTCATCTCCTCAGTTAGATTCATTCATATGTTTGGGGCTTTTTCTTTGTTTGGGTTTTTTTTTTTTGTATGTGTGTGTATGTGATTATATGCAACAATTGTGATGACCACTGCGTTATGAAAAACACTGCTTTGGGAGCTAGTACGAACGGGGCAGTTTCCATTCTAATCTTAAACATTCCTTTCTTCTCCACTGGGAGTCTAAATTTCAAAAGCAAGACTTTCAAGTTGCATCCTTTTTGCAGCCCACCAACCTTAGGTGCCCAGCAGATAGGGACGGCTTATTCCAAGCTGGTAGTAAATGTCGCCTTACATCTGAGTTGATGTGTGCTTTACGTGGTTTGCAGACCTTCTCCCCTTCTCCTGTTTGTCTTTATTCTGCTGTGATGATTGCTGGCACGCCGTTTTAACTAGATGTACACAGGCCACCTCTCTTTGTGTGCTTATTGTGTTCCCAGCATTGCCACCGTGGGCTGTGCGTGACCAGAGACATGGAGACCCGCCCCGTGGATGGCGAATGGGGGCCCTGGGGACCCTACAGCTCTTGCTCAAGAACGTGTGGAGGTGGAATTAAAAGCACAACCAGGCTCTGTGATCGCCCCGAGTATGTCTTTTTACTCACTGTAAATTAAGATTGTCTCAAGGACCCGAAAGTAAGAGTCAGTTTCGTTCACTTCTCACGCCGGAGGTCAGTCTGCCAGTTTCAGAGATTTAGACCCATTCTGCAACACTTGAAACGATACTGCTTTGCACCTTTGTAGATTCAGACTAAAAAAAAACAAACTAGATTAAATTTTATGATTTCAACCAAGACAGCTATTTTTCTTCATCCTCTGTTTTCGGCTTCAGGGTGACTTTAGTAAGTGTGAATAATGGTTCTGTAACGGCATCTGCATGTTACGGTGTTTCAAACGAAAGGCCCTGCATCCTTCCCCTGGTGCCTGGGCTCTGCTGCACAGCTCTGTCATTCAGTCACTAGCTTTTTATCGTTCCGTAATCTAATGTTTCCTCCTTTCCCTCCTCTGCTCCCATTGTGGATGCTTCCCTGTTTTAGCCGAGTAAGTGCCCAATCGTCTCTCTTCATCCAACTCCAAAGCATGCCGAAACCCCAGAGAGATTTTCACTATTCCTCTTTTACATATAATAATTCACGAGCCGGGTGACACTCCGATCAGTCATAGCAGGGAGTATTTTTAATGCACAGGAATACAACACACTCCGAACAAATCTTACCAGGTCATTTGGGGCTAGGTAAATTAGATGTCATTTTCACCCTGCAAACTTCTGGGGTTTATTTCCAAGAATAAATTGAAACAGTGACAGGCATGTATGTGCCCCACTCCAGCATGGCAACAATGGGTATGTTTCCCTCGTCACCCACGTCTTTCTTTATTGTCTGTGCCTCACTAGACATCGTGTTTTAACGTTAGAACAATGTTCCGCCATTAGTTCCCGTTAATCTTGTCAGAGCTGTGACTCATTTCTGGTGTCCGGGTCTCAGGTCTACTTGAGAAGGGGTTGCTATTTTCAATGATCGATTCGCCAGAAAACTGTTTATATGGTACATATAATGTGAAAAGAGTGTCAGTGGCCCTTCTGGTCCTGGAAGAGAATGGGACAGTTGTAGGAATAGATGAGAACAGTAATGTTTTTACTGATGCACTTTAAAATGTAATGAATTTGACTAGGCCAAGAAACGGAGGAAGGTACTGTGTGGGCCGCAGGATGAAATTTCGATCATGTAACACTGATTCATGTCCAAAAGGCAAGCGAGACTTCCGGGAGGAGCAGTGCTCTGACTTTGATGGTAAACATTTCAACATCAACGGCCTCCCCCCTAACGTGAGGTGGCTTCCCAAGTACAGCGGAAGTAAGTACCGCTTCGGCTCCGATAGGAGAACATGATGCCGCACAGCAACGCGGGGGCTTCCCCGTTCTGCGTCCGAAACGCGATTCCTCTCCTTGCAGTTGCCGTAAAAGATCGCTGTAAACTCTATTGCCGGGTCGCTGGGACCACCAGCTTCTACCAGCTGAAGGACAGAGTGGCTGATGGTACACCCTGTGGGACTGAGACCAATGACCTCTGCGTTCAGGGCCTTTGTCGGGTGAGTAGACTGGGGTTTCTACTGGAGAACCATGCGTTCCTTTTCCTTCTGTGACCAATGGTGTCTGTTTCCTCGCAGTCTGTTCTTATGAATGCCATTAGAGTAGTCTTTGATAGCATGCTAGCTCTAGGACTAGGGTTAGCTTTGTTTGGAAGCAATTCTTTGTGGTGTCGTGGGATACAGCCTGTATCCGGTACTCGGGAGGCTAAGGCGGGCCAACCTGGTCTAGGTAGCTGGATCCTGCCTCAAAAATAGAGCAAAAATGGCTTAAATGTGTAAGGTGGCTGATTTTGTTTTGCCAATTGTATTTAGAATCGGCGTGAAGATGGGGCCACCTTCTTTAAAAGGTAGGAAAAAATGGACTCCAGGGTAGAAAAGTGTTTTTACTACTTCAGATGTGACCCCGCATGGTGACATGTAACCCACATCTCCTCCCTCTCTCTAGTCCTGTGACTCTTATTTCTCCTGTTCAAACAGCAGTGATTGAGTACTTGCTCAATGTCAGATACTGTTCAGATCAAAGATACGATTTTAGAAACATGAGGTAGAAAGTGCTCAGGGCTGTAGTTGGGGACAGGACGATATTTGATGAGTACTTTTCATCTGAACTCCTTAGAGATTCAGATGTTATTATGAAGTGGAAAAGCAGTGATATTTGCCTTGCACTTTACGGTTTTTTTAGAATGACCTTGATTAGAAGAAGACGGGAGGCAGGCAGACCACTTAGCAGGCTTCTCAGTAAACATAAGAGGCTTTCACAGAAACACAGTGCTGCAGATGTTTGGTTATCTGGAGAATGCAGGTGAAGTCTGAGCGTTAAAATATCGAATGCTGTCTAAGCAGTCAATGCACTGTGGTGAGGCCATTTCTTTGGTTGAAGGGGAACTTAATATGACCAATTTATCTCACTGTAGCCAAGTATTAGTAGCCTCGGTGATACTGGCCTGCACCCAAAGGCCTTAGGAGAGGCTCAAAGACACCTAACTTACATTTTGGAAATAGCTTAAATAGTATGAAAAGATTACTTTGTGGCCCCCCAAACTGTTTGCTGTGTTTAAACAAGCAACATAGCCAAATGAAACGAGTCAAAGATGATCTGAACATCTAGATGTATTTGGTGTTCATAAAATATGTGAGAAAACCTTCATCTCAGAAATAGTTGCCTTATGTATCCAAAAAAGCATATGGCAGGGGGATTGGATGGTTCCACAGGTAAGGCGTTTGCTGCTAAGCCTAATGACTTGAGTTCCGCCCCTGGGGCCCACATGATGGAAGGAAAGAACCAACTCCCAAGGTTGTCCCACTGTCCCATCAATGTCAAAAACAATCCCGGTGGTGTATGACCTTTTCTCTTGGGGTCATTCAGTTTAGAGGTCTAGTCCATAAAACTAAAGGCCACGTCATGGGCAGAGAGTGTCTGTGGGAAAAGCAACTGCACTTTCCTCTGAAACGTCTAGGAAAACCCTTTTGTCCACACTTATGCTGATGATTAATCTGGGGGAAATTCGTTCAATTGTTTATTTGAGACAAGCTTTATTTCCAGTGTTCTAAGGCCACGATGTCTTTTAGAAGAAGTACAACACCTTATCTGAGTATTCTAATGTGTTGCTTATCCTACCTAATGCATCTGTTTGAATTACCTTTCTTTAAAGGTTTTCTTTTTTTTAATGTTATATGTGTATCAGTATTTTACCTGCTTGTATGTATGTATGTATGTTTGTATGTATGTATGTATGTATGTATGTATGTATGTATGTATGTATGTATACCACATGTATACGTTGATTGTGGAAGCCAGAGAAGGGTGTCAGATCCTCTGGAACTAGAGTTATAAATGGTTGTGGATGCTGGGTTTTGAACCCAGGTCCTCTGGAAGAGCACCAGTGCTCTTGCCTACTGAATCATCTCTCTAGCCCAACATTGTGGTTTTCAAATGATTGTGGAACATAGGAATCGTTGTCTGTCCCAATGTAGAACTCAAGTTATTACCGGAAGATATTCATTCAGAAAATTCTGTAAACCCTCTGAAACACACTACTTTTCAGACCCCGTGAACACAGTTCACAGATCGCTGCCCACTTGGTTTGGTAGGCACTCAGAAAGGCTCCTGTCGTACCTGGAGCCCTGCTAATTGAAATAATCTTTTGAAGAGAACATTGTATACTCTAAAGTGCTGTGCCCATAATTAGTCACTTTGATGATAGGAATCATGATGATTGTGTTTTGAAGCAAGCTGGCTGTGATCACGTGTTGAACTCCAAGGCTAAGAGAGATAAATGCGGAGTGTGTGGTGGAGATGACTCTTCATGCCAGACCCTGGCAGGCGTCTTCAACAGTGCACATTACGGTAAGCTGAGTGTGCTTGCCTCCAGTTTCCCCTTTGATCTGAGCAAGTGCTCTGGTGTGTAATAGAGGCGCGTCAGTAATGCTTTGTTATAGCCCGTGTCCTCTGTGGCCTCAGTCCAGAATGACTGTCAATGAAAAATGTCCAGATGTAAAGAATAAGCCTTGAGCTGGGTATGCTGTTTGAATTAACGAATTCACTTGCCTAAAACAAACCTGAGTCTATGTTTTGTTGTCTGTGTTTTTGAAATGAGGTCCAATGTATTCCACTGGCACTTTGGCTCTCCAAACCTTGACTGTTCAAGTGTCGAGATGATAGGCACGTACCATGCCCAGCTCATGCTGTGCTGGGGCCAAGCTCAGGGCTTCTTGATTATTTGGCAAGGTCTGTACCACCTGAGACCATCCTCAACCCTAAATCTGATTTTTAATGAAAAAGATCGGAAGCATTAATGAAAATTGAACAGTAAATCCAGTAGTATTTGACCATATTGGGTGAATAGTCTCCAAATTTTGGAGACCTTTTAATGATGTTCCTATAAATTAGAATGTATATAGTTATGACTCTTTCTGGGGAACTTGCTTTTAATTATTTTTAACATTTGAAAGTCTTCCCCCCACCTCTTTCTCTCCTTTTTTTTTTTTTTTTTTTTTTTTTTTGCAAGAAGATGCCTGGTCTGTGTGTTGTGTTTGTTTTTAATTGTATTGAAAAGGTTGGCTGAGAGTAAAGGGTGAAATTTTTAACCTAAATGTTGGTTCTTAATTTTGATTTCCCAAGTAGCATGTGCAATGGAGTTCCAATGGATACTTGGCCATGATTTCAGTTTTATTTGAAATTGTTTTAAGATCACCTCAGACATTTTCAATTCTAAATTTCCTCAGAAAATATTCTCCTTTTTAAATGATGATACAGGCAGACCTTTAAAACTTTCCATGTACAGTAAAAACTTATTTCTTACAGTGTTATTTTTCAACATTAAATTATGTCCATATGGTTGAGCTCATGATGCTACTGGTAGTTATTACAATGAAAGGGTATAACTCAAGACTCAATTTTTATACCTGTATGAGAAGCATAGAACATTTCATATTCTAATGTACTGGAGATGGTCATGTGTGTTAACCAACATGCTCTTTTTCTCTTGGTTACTGATGATTTCATGTGAGCTATATACTTGGATCCCCTTCCATAACCACTGACACATGCTTGTGATAGACGGCAGTGACTAAACAATATCACACAGCATGAAGCCACATGTATCAAATTAGAACTTAATACTTTACCTGGTGAAGATTGTGTCACTAGTTCCCATACAGATGGGGGACCTTGTGCAGGTCATTTGCAGGGTGGATGTCTGCCCCCTGGTGGTTACCTTCATTCTGGCATCTTTTTGGTGCGTTAGACTTGCTTCACGCCGGTACTGGTGACAGGTGGAAGAAGTTGGTGAGAGTTCTCTGGGTTAAAATTAATCTTGGAGATTATAAGCTGTAAGATACATAGAGTAGTTATCAAACTGCCACTTTATGTGTAAGTTGTGACACCTTAAAGAGGTAAGGCAGGCTGCTCCAAAAGCCTACAGGCGATCTGGCACCACCGTCTTTATGTAATCATGGGGCAGTATTTTCAAATTTAATGCATAAGAAAAATTACAACTCTTATTCATGCACTAAACTGAGGGAATTAATTTTTTAAAAGGCCAAGGAAAATCCTGGAGTAACGTCTCTGGAGCATATTTAATTCTGTGCTTTCCCCGAGGGGTTTAGCTAGCTATGTGAGTGATTTTAGGAATAGTGTCAGGAAAAGTTCTTTTTTATTCCTCATTTAATGTGCAGTTTATACTGCATTTCCTCTCCAAACAGTGCCAGTATTGCAGGATTTGGTCCAATAAACTAGAGATATTACTTTCATTCCACTCCAATAAACTTTTTATTTTTCTGGTAACAGATGTAGGGAGACTTTAAAAAAGTAATGTAAAATTCGGGTGTAAATGTGGAGATTCTAGTTTGAGATATAAACTAAAAGCTTAAGAAAAATTAATTTTCTATTATTGTTTCTCAGTAGTAAAATTTGTTGCCTCTCAGTCTTCTTAAACTTAATATACTTCTTAAACTTAAAAAACTTCTTAAATATCATGTCAGTGACCAATTATATCGATAGCCCTAGGTTTGTGAATAGCATTTGAAATCCTGGATTCTAAGTGTGAGAGCCCAGGGCAAACATTCTATTTGACATTCAGAATTTCAGAAGTAGTAAAAAATTAGGACATGTTGGGCTTTAAGAATCTCTAGTTGGGAGCTGAAGAGATGGCTCAGAGGCCCCTGCTGATCTTGCAGAAGACCCGAGTTCAGTTCTCAGCACCACATCAGGAGGCTCACATTGCCGCAGCTCCAGCTCCAGATATCTGAAACCCTCTTCTGGTCTGTGCAGGCACACCCCCCCCCCAACACAGACACAATATATACAATAATAGCCCCTCCCACTCAAACAGCACAAACATATATAGTAATAAAAAATAAATCACAAGAAGAGACTGAATCTCAAGGTCTGTGTATTTGGGTGGTCTTCATCTCAGTCTTGCTTAGTGTGTTAAGGTGTAGATCAGATAGGAAAAAAAACATTTAATCACGTTTTAAAGGCTAGAAAGAATTTGTAAGTGTGGCCATACTATTCCAATCTTGCAGCCACTTGGTGGTAATAGTTGATGGAACGTCTGCGATTTATGAAATTTCACATGTGCGAAACTATATTGCAGGTTACAATGTCGTTGTTAAGATTCCTGCAGGGGCAACAAACATTGAAATTCTTCAGCACAGCTATTCTGGAAGACCGGAAGACGACAACTACCTTGGTAAACTTGTAGTAAGCAGCAGTGGATGTGTGGTTTGTGGGAAATTCGTCGGAGGTCTGTGGTTGATGTAGCTCTTTCTACACCTTCAGCAACACAAAATAAACCTTTTTAGAAGGAAAAGGGAAACAATGGGACAATTTTGGTTTTTATTTTCCATTATGGCATTGTAGGTAACCATATTTTGTATTCAATTAAAGTCGTATGTATATTCAGAACAAAATTCTCTTCTCTTTCATGCTCACTGTAGCACTCTTTGGCTTCCCATAAATTTTTTTTTTAATCGTGTAGCGAAAGTACTTAAGTACAATTTTATTTAAAGTTCTACAAATAACTAGTTTTGTATTTTGAGATATTACCGAATATGGTCATTATGTATTTCTTGAGTATAGACACATTTTGTTGTCTTAAAAAAAAAACCTTTCAGATTTGGAGAATTTTGCTTATATAGAAATATGGAAAGGGCATTTACAAAGATTTTTCTCCTCACAATGAGCCAATTTCTGAGTTACCTAATTCCTCAAACTGGTGATGTGCACCTGATAAGATGATTTATCTGCTTCAAATTAATTCAATTTATGTATTATCCTATGTAACTAATACAACTAGCAGTATGACTTTATTATGTACAGTTTATTTCAAAAGTATAGGTGGCATTATAGAGTCAAGTGCTTGGGGGTAACCCTTCAATAGGTTCAGGATTTCTTCATTGTGAAAATTTGGATACAATAACAAACCAGCTGGACTTGTCTGCACACGTGTATATGCTAAATTCTATGGAACTGTTCACCTAAGAAAGCTTAATTTCATGACATATCACTTCCAATGCAATTAATGCCAAACATTTCCCAAAGAGAATTGAATGCAAATGTCTTGCTTTTTTTGTATCTTATTGTATTTAGTTGATTTTAGTTTTCTCATAATTAAACATATTGCCTTGGTATGCAGCCAGAGACATGTGCAGCTAGAATGTAGGTAAATAATTAACCTGGCCACATCTTCCTGGGAATGGTCCAGGGGTTCTTCCCATGTTTAAAAGTTGTGACTGTTCTAACAAAGAAACTACTGTGTACACAGTATCGTGGAAACTTGAGTGTAACTTATAATGAGAAAAATAAGCCCATGCACCCCTGGAAGGTTTTTTTTTTTGTTGTTGTTGTTTTTATTTTAAGTATTTGTTGTTTGAGAATTCATGTCACTAGAAGTCCCTTAAATAGGCCTGTGGACATTGTTGACATAGAGAAAGTTCATCTCCTTACACAGAGGAGTTTCTGTTCCACAGGACGAATGTCAAGCTTGATTTGTTCTTTAGTGTAACCTCTAAAGGTGATTCAGCTGGTGGCATCAGTGACCTGTGTGTTTTGGGTGAGCTTCCCAGGATGACAACTGCATATTTTCTTCAAGTCTCACTTTTCAGGTCTCACTGACATTTTAACACAAGTAAAAATCAAGAGCGATGCACTTCGTTAGTATAGGGCTTTATTATTTTAAAATACAGAGTGTTCCAGGATGCTGAGAATTAAATGTAAGTAGGCTAATCTTATATTATTTACATGCCTCTACAAATACTTTCCAGATCTGATTGTGGCTAATTGCCTGTTAGCATAGAAAGTTTTAACTCTACTGTGTAGCTGAAGAGACTGAAGCAGAGGTTTGTGGGAGATCACATAGCAATCAGTGATCAATGGGAGTGCCTTAACATCTGCACTGCTGTGATACATGCAACTCTGTATTAAAGCATAGCAACTTACTAATATATACTCTAGTCCCGTTCCATACTTGTATGTGTGTATAGTACATGACATGTGTGACAGGCATCTTAGTTACTTTTCCTGTTGCTGTGATAAAAAAAAATACCCGGACAAAGGAAATTAAAGAGAAACAAGTTTGTGTTGGCTCATATTTCAACAGTATATTCCATCATGGAGAGAAGGTCCTGGGTACAGGAGCTCAAGGCAGCTGGTGACCTTCCAGCCACAGTCAGAAGGCAGAGAATGATGATTGCTTGTGCTCAGCTAGCATTCTCCTCTTTGTGCAGACTGGATCCGAGCCCAGGGAATGGTACTGCTCAGTGTTAGGGAATTCTAGCCTCAGTAAACCTAACCAAGATGACCCTTTTCAGGCATGGTTAGTGGTTTACCTAATCCAGACAGTCCCTCTCAGGAAAGCTGGCCTTCTAGGTGATTCTAGATATGATCAAGTTGATAATATTAATGTTCACTGGGCTTACATCAATTCCTTACCGTAGGAAAGAGAATAAAAAGAGGTACGAACCAAAAGGAAGATAGGGATGTTATTTTTGAGCAGTCACATTCATCAATGGTGACCAAGAGTCTCTTTATGAACAGCTATGGACATTTGGGTGAGGAATGGGGTATACCGCTAACGTTTTAAGATAACGTTCGGATCTCAACTCAGTGGTCACACAGATGGCCCTGGTTAAACAGGCCATAAAACCCACCCAAAAGTCGTGAATCAAGGGGAAAGGACTAGTAGGGAGGAGAGGAGAGGAGAGGGTTGGGAGGGAAGGGGCGGGGAAAGTAACCAGCATGCACTATATCCATGTATGAAATTGTCAAAGGGCTAACCTCATTCAAAAATTTGGCCTTAAAAATGTAAGGTTTTGCACATTTGTTCCAAATTAAGCATAAATGGAGTGCAGATGGGCCGTTCTTCGCTCTCCCTTGTTGGTGACTGATTGGTGGGTGCTCTATGTGCTGGTGCTCTGGTTCCTCCTGCTTCTCCTCTTCCTGTGTGCCCTTCCTGTTTCGTGCCTCTGAGGCCGTTCTGGAATATAACAGGGTCGGGTGAATCTGTCTTAATATATTTGGCTGCTGTGTTGAAGTTTTCTTACTTGCAGATTAGAGACCACAGTACAGTGAAGTAGTTTATTTCCTGAGCATCGGCTTATATTTACTTTCTTTAGATTCGGAAAAGAGTTTGCATTTAAAAGCGAGGAAAGTGAACTCCATCCTGTTTGCTGGTTTTATCGTTTCATGAGCTGCATTATGTTGTTTTACAGCGTTATCTGACACTCAAGGGAACTTTCTTCTGAATGGAAATTTTGTTGTAAGTATGGCAAAGAAAGAAATCAACATCCAGGGAGCTGTTTTAGAATACAGTGGATCAAACAACTCGATTGAAAGAATTAATAGCACTGACCGGCTGGAAGCAGAGCTTGTTCTGCAGGTAATGGCCTGTAGGCAGCGGTGAAACCCAGCCGCAGTCTTAGTAGAGGACTAGTTAAATGCTTAACATCATTAGTTATAAAAAAATGTCTTAAGAGTGTATCTTTTATAAATTAATTGTATGTTCCTCTGTATTTTATTGAGGTGTTATGTGTGGGTAATTTATACAACCCTGACGTGCACTATTCCTTCAACATCCCCATTGAGGAGAGGAGTAATCTGTTCTCCTGGGATCCATATGGGCCGTGGCAAGACTGTACCAAAATGTGCCAAGGTACCCTGGCCTTAAATAAGAGACCCAAGTTTATGCATGCTGGTATTGTGTGGTTCCTCTGAAGTCTGACTGGCTAATGAGTCCTTCTGAACATGGAGCATACAGGCATGCCAAGTGCCCTGTTTGCCCCCCTTCATCTTGGTCTTTGTCTTCTTAACTATCCCATCAACTCTACTGTTCCCACCCTTCTTCACTCTTTCTCTCTCTCCTTCCGCTCTAGCTTTCTAGGGTAGTACCACCCCTCCCCACCTATAGTCATTCCCCTTCACATACATTTTTTTTTTTTTTTAAATCCATCTGTCTTTTATTGGTGCAATGTCAGACAGTCATTTTATTTCCCTTTCTTGGACATGAGAAAATACATGTGTACTGTGGTGTGCAACACCGAAAGGGCCCGAGAGGAAGAGAGCAAAGCAGGAGGAGATATAGCGGGGGGGGGGGGAGCAGGCATGGCAACAGTGGAGCCATGGTGTAGTCTGTGATCGTGGGTGGTCTGTGACAGAATGCTCCGTTCAGCTCTCTGCTCTCACCACTGCACCGGACAGACAAGAGAGACCAAGCTCAGAGCTTGAAAATAAAGGCTCTTTGCTTTTACATTAAAAAACAAAACAAAACAAACAACAACAACAACAACAAAAAGAATGCTATGTTCTGTGCAGGCAACCTTTACTGAGGGACAATTTGGGCTCAGATTATTATTAAGAGCCACATTTTGTATTCAGATATAGCCCACACATATATAGAGATCTTCCTGTAAATGCGGTTGCCATGGATGACTATGCAAGGAGATTCCCCAGATGGGGTGGTGGAGGTCATAGTGTGGAAACTGAGGTATAAAGTTTATAGAGAATGGAGCATGAAGGGGAGCAGTGATTAGAGGGAGGAATCTCAGAACTATGCAGATGAGAAAAGGTGGGTGGCCAGAGGTGGTGGCCCTGGATGAGGAGGACCATCGATCTCTTCATCTCACCTGACAGGTGAAAAGTAGCAGTGGTGTTCTCCAGGAAGAGACACCACCTCTGTCCCTTGGCAGTGATGCAGAGCTGCTCAGGATGACGGCAGGACGTGATGTCCTGTCACTGTGTGGGGCGGGCTCTCAGAACGGACACAGTAATAGATGGCATCAGTTCAACTGGGATAAATGGTAGAGTAGACACAGTGCACTGGCAATACTGGGTGTCTCAGGGTTTCTATTCTGTGATAACACATCCTGACCAAAAGCAACCTGGGAAGGAAAGGCACCGCCCGCAATGAGCTGGGGCCTCCCAGTCCACTCATTGATCAAGTGCATATCCCACAGTCTTGTCCACAAGCCAGTCATATGAAGCATTTTCTCAGTTGAGGTTCCCTCTCTCAGACGACTCCAACTTGTGGTCGAGTCAACCAAAAATCTAGTCAGTGCACTGGGGGAGTCCAAGGCGTCATGTTGACAGAGAGGCCTTGGGTGAACTCTGCAGAAGACAAGTAGAGTTTGAAGATGTGGGACCAGCTGTCCTGCATTGAATGTGTAAGCAGGTGTGTGGCTGTGGACATGGGATAACAAACGGAGCAACAGGCGAATGAAGAAAGATTCTAGAATGCAGTAGATTCCCCCAAGAAAAGAATGGCTTCTGAGAGGCTGTGAGCAGAAAAATGGGTTTGTTTATTTATTTATTTAGCCATCAAATACTGTGATTAGAATCTCTGCTCTGTGTAACTCTGCAGCTTGTTACTTTTTTCTGAGTTAATTATTACTCGAGATTTTAAAACAGCTGTGCATTTTGTTTTAGAATTTTCTTTGTTATTTTTCAGTGTTATTTTTTCTTTATTTTTGCAGTATTCCTCTTTGCTCTTGAGCTCATGAATTTGTGTCCTTTTAGGCTCATTTTGTAACTGTCCCCTTTAGGTTACCACTTCAATATTATCCTGGGAATTCTCTTGAATTTTTCTTTAATCTCATGAGTCCTCTTTTATACTTACCTCCATCATTGTGGGAAATAGACCTCAGGATGCTATGGAGAAGGAAAGGTAACTTGGGAGCACTTGCCATCTCTAAAATATCACTATTCAATGATCACGTTTGCCCAATTCTTTAACTGGTGAGAATTCTGGACAGACAGTGTCTCTTTAGACTCATTAGGCCTGGCCCTGTGGCTTTTCTTCAGCTGGCCCTTCACTTCCCTGTGCTTGTATGGGGCATTCTCCACTCTTGAAGCTTTATGGATCCTTTCCTCAGTCCCAGTGATGTCAGAGAACAGGTGCCCTCTCTTGTCCCGCTGCATGGCTTGCCTATAGAAACCCAGCTGGGGAAACAGGGAAATGAAGGGAGGACAGACACAGACACATGTACTAAAACACGGGGGTTGGGTGGAGCCCTCCTGTCTCTGATGGAGCAGCACCAGCTCTGCAACTACTGGGAACCTCAGCCTGTTTCCTATGTACAGCATGAGCAGGAGGCGTGTCTCTGCAGGGGACTGTCTCAGGCTGTAAACATCTGGGTGGAAGAAAGCTTCAGTCTGTGCTTGTGTGCACTCTGTCAACATCTGCACATGGACCAGGGGAAGGCTTTGCCAGTGTCCAGGGCTCTTGGGCATTGGTCCTTGACAACAGGACAGTACACATCCACTGGGGTCCTTTGATGTGCTCTTCTTTCTTGTCATTTTCCTGTGAATTATGTCAATCTTTTTGGAAATAGATTCTCGGATTTTTTTTTTTAAGATTCCTCACCAGTCTTTTGCCTTTTTCACATTTGTATTGTTTGAAGGCAAAACCTCTTCAGTTAGAACCTTATGGTGTCATGTCTTTGGCTTCCTTGTTTGGTAGCTCTAGGCATGCTTGTTTCCCGTTCATTTGTTTCCTTGGATCTCTTATATTTGAGGCTTCCTAAAATCTCTGTTAATACTTTTTCATATTTAAGAACTAAAATCTCCTTCTGTATCACATGAGTCACTGGGAAAAGACCCTAAGGTCAGCTGATCTGTCTTTCTTGGGGAACAGTCCCCCAAGAGAGAAAATCTCTTGTCTTCCAATGGTCATGGTTGGGTGAGGGGAACATGGAATGGTCCTGCATCCAGTGAGCATGGAGAGTGCAGTGGGCTGGGAGGTCCCCCATGTGAGACCGTCTTCCTTAATCAACCCATTTCCATCCTGTGGGTCCTCTCCTTTCTGTGCTGTGTCTTCAGGCTCTTTTCTCTCAAGCTGTGCTGTCCAGTTCAGCAGCCATGAACCGTATGTGACCAGTCTGCTTCAGTGTGCGCTATGTGTGAGCTACCCACTGTATTTTGAATATTAAAATGAAAGGAAGAAAGTAAAATATGTTTTAATAATTTTTATATTAGTATGTTCAAATAATCAAATTTTATACACTTCGGGGTAAATATAAGTATCGTTAATTTTGCTAGTATTATTTTATGTTTCCCTGTATTTAGAGGAAGTAGAAAGTGACATTTGTGGCTCACAGTCTGCACTGGTGACTGGAGGAAGAGTACTTTAACTGTCATCCAAATATGATTTTTAATCCACTCTTTGTTCCTCATGCCCACCCCTCATCCATTCACAAGGTTGACTTCATCCTCCTTGGCTCGGAGAATTGCTTTATCATTCACTTTTCGTCTCCACAATTTCCCCTTCTCTTCTGTTTCATTTCCTTTATTTTCTTTTGCTCCTTTACATATATGCTTCTAAAAAACAACTTATATTTATTTTAAAAGGGGCTTAGAATAGATCTGAGATAAACACATGTTCATGTTTAGTTGACTGGGCGTTCAAAGTTGAGTGTTCACAAAACAGAAATTTGATCCTGTCACAGACTGCTTCGACTCCCGAAGAGGATGTGGATTCAGGGTGCCCTGAACCTGAGTGATAGTTTGCTTTGACTGGTTGTGTTGTAGACAAACAGCCACCCTGTCTCCATGGGGTGAGCTGAGGCCATTGTTGATCAGACTGTACTTTGGGTTTCATTGACACGTCCTGCTCTGTATAACTAAGATCTCCATCCATGCCGTGAAAACAAAACCAGATCTTACTTTTAGAGTAGCTTCAGTCCTTGCAAACAGTGGAAGTACAGAAGAGCTGAATATTCCTGTCTCCCCACCCCATCCCCCCTCTTCCTCCCTACTGCTCTGCTGTGTGTTTGTGTCTATTGACATGTGTGTACAGATGACCAGCTGGTCCTGATTCCCAATGACCAGCTGATGCCTGTAGTTTGCACTAGAGTTCATTCTTCATGCTGTGAATTCTGTGGATTTCGGCAAATAAATGGTGATGTGTTTCCACATTTCACTATCACACAGAGGAATTTCATAGCCCTGACCCATCCCCATGCCTCACCTGTCCTGTTCCCCCAAACCCGTGAAACTACTGATCTTTGTGTTGCTTGTAATTAACTTTTTCGTTCATGATGCCAGTCTGAAAGGTCGGCCCTGTGTGGACAGTGCTATTCTGAAGGCGGAGGGACAGAACAAGAGCTTGTTGGAACTGTCATAGGCCATATCCCCTCTAGTCAGTTCACATATGTGTCATGCCACCTGACATGGAAGTTGTCATAACGCTGTAGCAGTACATATGAGGAAGTGATCCATGGGGCAATGACTTAGTGATAACATCCATGCTGGCCCCAGCCCTACCTTCCAATCTCGTTGTTGCAGAGCTACCCCTTACCTGGTCCTTCTTCCTTCTGGCCTCCTCTCTTAGCAAAGTCCTCCACAGTCATTGAGGATTCAGCTTATAAAAAGAAACTCCTAACAAGATTGATGTCCTAATGACCTGTGAATAATTGCAAAAATTTCTGCTCTCCTACATGGATAATTATCATTTATAATTACTATAATTATGGAACACGTAACTTGTATAAGTTTTTATTTAGTTTTTAATTTTCATTTAATTTTAAATTTTCATTTCACTCTGGCTAAGGTCTTCATAGAAGAAAAATCGTCTGCATACGTCAGAGTGACCATGCAATTGTATCCGATCAGAGTTGTGGCCACTTACCACTGCCATTGTTTGTGACGGAAAAGTGCAACACAGACTGTGAGCTCAGGTAAAAGAGAAGTCACGTGTGATGTAACCGATGTGTAGTGACGATGAACTGATCATTAGATAAGACATTCGGTGCCTCACATGGGGCAAGCAGGCCGTTAATATCTGACCTCTGCCTTGTCGTTTAGAACACTTCAGGCTCACTAATTCATACTCCTGCTCAGTAATTCATTTGACTTTTGAATCAGTCGTATTAGCTAAATACCCATGTATAGGCCTCACATTGTGTGTACAATATGGAAGCAATTTAGTCTGTGACGTAAATCCAGATAAACTCTAATCTGGAAATCCATGGTTTAAAGATGTGAAATATTAGGTCCATATAGTATGAGTCTGTAATTTCCACTGAAATTAGAACTCAATAAATAATATTTAAGAATGAAAAAAATATAGATTGAGTTCCCTAATACATTAGAATTGTAGTACTCCTAAGGGAGTATTAGGATTAATAATTGTAGTATTAATACTCCTAAGGGAAGTGCAAGCAAGTTGGTACTTCTACCCCAAATTCTCAGTTTCTTAGGTGTTTGTGGGTGAGTGTATATGCATATGTGGGTGATTGGTTAACAGACCGATATAAGCTAAAAACAACAACTCAAAAACCTCATCTTCCAATTAAATCCATATTGTGGCAATAGTATTTAATATTCAGAGACAGCCAAACCTCTTCTTCACTCACGAAGGACGGGGGTTTGAAAATACTGTTGTGTTGTATGAAGGCACATGGGAAAAGGCCAGTAGAAATGGTTACTGAGGCTGCGTGAAGCACAGTGGGGTCTTGTAGAGAAATGAGGTCTCAACCTCATGCTTCATTATCCTGGTGCACACATATTGCTTGAGAGATTGCTAGGCTACAACTGGGATAATTTGGCTCAAGTTGCCATTTTTACCTAACGAAAAATGTTTGTTCACAAATATTTCTAAATAGAGAATACAGGGATTAACTAGAGGTTGTGATATGCACCACAAGAAAACTATCTTGCCAGCTTTCAGAGACTGTATCTTAACTGCTGTGGTAAGATTCCCAGACCTCCCTCATTCATATACCAAGGTTTGACCTAGGGTTTGCACTCAGAGTCAGTGTATCCCGTGGAGTCTTACATCTACCATGAGTGCCAGCCTTGGTCAAAGCCAGATGCTTACAAGGAAACTTGAAGTTCTAGGACACACCTCAAAGATGCCACCTACTGTTAGAATGAGACCCAAACACACACACACACACACACACACACACACACACACACACACACACACACACACACTTTTAAATATAATATATATTAGAGCAAATAAGATTTCATTTAGATGATGGTAAGATCTCTCTCTCTCTCTCTCTCTCTCTCTCTCTCTCTCTCTCTCTCTCTCACACACACACACACACAGACACACACACACACACACACACATACGTTTAAACCATTGGAACCCAGTCTCTGAGCCTCATTTTGCAAAAGGAGAACTTTTATTTTTTCTTTCATAAAACAAATTTTAATTCATTGGACCTGATACACTTGTTTTCCTAAACTCCTATATTTTTCAAAAAGCTGCTTATAAACCCTAAACTGATTTTATCATCTTTCTGTGCAATCTCTTTATCAGTATAGAGAGAAAAGCAATCCATAAGCTGATTGCAACTGAAAACACAGCCTGAGGTCAACATTTCTGCGCTGAGTCAGTACTGACTGCTCACCTCATTTTGTTTTCCGAGCCCTGGAAAGACAGCCAGCTACACTGAACCCCACTGCGGAAGTCCCACCACTTAGGGCTGAGCTGCCCTGCTCGAGATCGGCAAACATACACTTTGACACACTTTTTCCCATTATATTGATTCAGACCAGACAGCATCTTCATTGATCCAGGGACTCCCAGATCCTACGGAGCTCCGCTGAACCTCACTTTGTAACAACAGACTTGGGTCAAAGCAAACAAAACCAACAAGTAAAGAAGAAGAAGAAGAGGAAGAGGAAGAGGAAGAGGAAGAGGAAGAGGAAGAGGAAGAGGAAGAGGAAGAGGAAGAGGAAGAAGAAGAAGAAGAAGAAGAAGAGGAAGAAGAAGAAGAAGAAGAAGAAGAAGAAGAAGAAGAAGAAGAAGAAGAAGAAGAAGAAGAAGAAGAAAAAAAGAACTTTTTGAGACACTGTCTCACTATGTAGCCCAGGCTGTCCCGGAACTTACAAACTTCCTGTCTTGGCCTCCCAGATGCAAAGCAAGTCTCCCTGTTACAAAAATGATGATAAACCAAGGTACCTATCTGCAGTATTGAACATGACAACTCAGCATGGACATTGAGCTCAGTATGATTTTATTTAAAAATTTGCAAAGCTGAAGGAGAGATCTGAGTTTTTGTTCAAAGAAAGCAATTTTCACAGCTTCTATCCTGGCGTTAGCTTTGTGTTGAGTGATAACAGGAAGGGAAGTTTCTGTTCAAGGTCCTCACTTCAGCACGCTAAGCCAGGCTCTTGGCATCCTGTGGCAAGGTCACTCGGCCCCTGGTCTGAGGTTCATGCCGGCCCTCTGGCAGTGGGAGGCCGGCCTTCCTTCAGACAGTACGACAAAAGGTGCAATACGAGAACTTTTCATCCCTAGTGCAATGATTTATCAAACAATTCCTAATGGAGTATCCATCAACTCTTAAAAAACTGAATTATGCCCAAACCTCTGAATCTCTTTTTCAATCAATGTTCATAAGCATTGCTCCTAAATCTGGTAACACCTTCTTTCTAGGTGGCACATCACTGGCAAAAGTGAATGCTCATCCCAGTGTGGCCAGGGATACAGGACCCTCGACGTTCACTGCATGAAGTATTCCATTCACAAGGGACAGACTGTTCCGGTGGAAGACCACTACTGTGGTGACCAGCTCAAACCTCCTACCCGGGAGCCATGCCATGGCAGCTGTGTTTTAACAAGGTGGCATTATTCAGAGTGGTCCCAGGTAAAGTAAAAATTGTCCCTTGAGAAGAAAAAAAAAATGCCTCTCTTTTCACCAGTTAAATGTTTCTATTTCTCTAAAAATATGTGTTTGTTGAAATTTTGATTTCCCCCTCCCCTATTTCTAAAGTCACTGATTTTGTTGTGCTTTTAACTAGTGTTCTAGGAGTTGTGGAGGAGGGGAGAAGACGCGAGACTCCTACTGTGTAAATGGCTTTGGCCACCGCCTTGATGAACGAGAGTGCCAGGAGCTTCCTCGGGTGATGCTTGGGAATTGCAATGAGTTTCCTTGTCCCAGCTGGGCTACTAGTGAGTGGAGTGAGGTAACACTAAACACATGGCTTAGAAAAACTGCTGTAATGTCATGCTTGGGAAGCTTACAGTCCAAGGCCGTGAAATTCAAATGTGTTATCATAAAAGCAGTTAAAAAAAAAAGTAAAGCTGTCTAGTTCTTGTAATATTTATAATGACCAGGCCAGTGGTAACATTTACTGATATTTAGTCTATAGCCACCTTCATAAGCAGCCGTAGTGCCAAAGCAATATGGGGCACACACTTCTTCAAAGGTTAGCTTTGGATCTTTGTTTCTAGAACAAATGGCTATTTTAATGGGACCTTGATACATTTATCTAATTATTCTTTATCAATAAAAAAAATCAAGAGTCAAATATTTGGGTAAGAACCTGAATAATCGGAGAAGTGGCAGAGAAGAAAGCAGAGACTTCCTATCTCTTCCGTTCCTACATCCAAAAGGGCTGAGATCCTCTCTAAGCCCCGCCTTACTACTTCCTGTCTCTATCTGTCCTCAGTCCTCCAAAACCTCTATGGTTAATTTTGGTCAGTTAGTGACTGGCTTTGCCCTCTGATTCAAAGCAAGCTTTATTGTCAGAATGCGATCAAAATATCACACAATGGGACCTGAGCGGCAGATGTTAGGGGCAGCTGGTTTTAACCGGTGAATGACTCCAGAGGAGTGTGTGTGTGTGTGTGTGTGTGTGGGGGGGACATTCCAGATCTCTGTGTCCCTTTGTGATGCATCTGTGTTAACTTCCCAGTGTCAGGCCACATGCGGAAACGGAATGAGGCAGCGGCAGGTTTGGTGTCAGCTGAGGGAGGATCCCATGAGCGACGGCTTCTGTAACGCCAGTACCAAGCCCCCGTCACTGAGGCCCTGTGAGCTCCCTGCGTGCACCTCTTGGCACGTAGGCCCGTGGGGTTCTGTGAGTATATGATGGGGCTTCGCTGCTTTGACCCATCTGCCTAGAGAATGGCAGGAGAGTTGTGCAATAGTCCACCCTCTCCTCAGGAGATTCACTGAAATAGGTATCACTAGGAATACATCTTAGGGGCTGGCACTGTGGCTCAATGATGGGTGAAGGCACTTTGCCAAAGCCTGGTAGTCTGAGTGTGATCCCTGGAACTCTCATAAAGGTGGAAGGGGAAAACAGACTCCACAAAGTTGTCTGATGTCTACATGTGTGATGGCATATGTATGCGTACACACACACACACACACACACACACACACACACACACACGCGCGCGCGCTACTAATTGAAAAATGCTTTCTCAAACACAGTCCTTTATTGGTAGGATTTTGTCATTGCTGATAACTTTGCTGTGCTTCATATTTCAGCTTTGTTTTTGGATTGAATTTAGCCCAAATGCTGAAAACGTTTGCTTTTTTGTCAACGCCAAGAGTGCATGAATATGTCCAGTATCAGCCCTTACATTGCTCTTACTGTGTTTAGTCTTATGGGGAGGCCCTGGGGCGAATGATGGTCAGGCCAGGTGAAGGTGGGAAGCTCAGTGTCTCGTGGAGGTTGTCAAGGCTGTTGGAAGGCTCCCCTCATTTCTTCACTGAATACACACTTCCTTGTAGATAGGGAACTTCACTTAACGTATTAGATGACATCAGGCAGGTGGCTGTTACCGAAATTGTGTTGTCTCCACAACTAGCATAGCGCATCTCGATCAACATCTTAGCGTGACGGCTCTAAAACTACATAGTGCATTTTGTTAACTGCGGTGTTTAGGTGACGTCACGCCAATTCAGTTTCCTGAATACAGGTCTCAAATCTGAAACGGGTCGTCAAAACGGCTACTGGAAGTACCTGGGGAACCACAGATAACTTTGATGTTGACTGAGAAAGAGGGGGTTTCTGTAACTCTTGGAAACTGCCTTTGGTACCTGTGGTTTCCTTCCAGTGCACAGCCACCTGTGGACGCGGGTATCAGATGCGCGCTGTGAAGTGTGTCAGTGAGCAGTTTGGCACGCTGCTAGATGACAGAGAATGCCAGGAAGCCAGCCGGCCAAGTGACAGCCAGGTAAAGGAGGTCTCTTCATGGATCAGAAGCAGAAATACTTAGGAAATGGAAGGGTTATTGATAAGCAATATACATAATGTATATACATATACATATACACACACACACACATGTATATATATTCTCCTTCTCTTCTACACCTTAAAATGCTTTGCTTCAATACAGAACGTGTCATTCTTGGTTTGGGCGCCCTGTGTTTCTCGTCAGTGCCGCTCTATCTTCTTGAACTTGTATATCCCCACTCTTTCATGGTGTCTGTGAGTGTGAATCCCATGACCTTGGCAAAGTGTTCTTTTCATTGTACAGCCCCGCATTCCTTCAGAACGGTCCACATTAGGATTGTTTTAAAGGACTTTGTCAGATAGGATGGAGACAGAAACATTGGGATGCAGCCTTCCTACTCAGTACTAGCACTTCCTTCCTACCCAGTACTAGTATTCACTTCCTTCCTACCCAGTACTAGCACTCACTCCTTTCCTACCCAGTACTAGTACTCACTTCCTTCCTACCCATTACTAGCACTCACTTCCTTCCTACCAAGTACTAGTACTCACTTCCTTCCTACCCAGTACTAGCACTCACTTCCTTCCTACCAAGTACTAGTACTCACTTCCTTCCTACCCAGTACTAGCACTCACTTCCTTCCTACCAAGTACTAGCACTCACTTCCTTCTTACTCAGTACTAGTACTTCCTACCCAGTACTAGCTCTTGCCAGCAGTCTGAGTCTCTGAAAGTGACTCAGGTCATCCATTTACATTTTAGCACACAGTATTGTTGGAGTCTCTCTGTGAAAAAGGAAACCCAGTACAGGATTTCATACAAGTCCGTGTGAATAGTTAAATGTCATTCCACAAGGTTTATTTCTCTGAAACAGGAATGTGTCGTTGCACCCTGCCTGGTCGTTCCAAAAGTTGGGGCGTCCTCCTTACCAGCCGTCCCCCTGGGAAGGGCTGCACAGTGGCGCCATGGATCTTGGACCCCAGTAAGTGAGCCAGCGTTTCTGCTGTGGAGGCTTCACACATGTACAAGAGTTGCTCAGTTTTGCCAGCTTTAATGGGTGCATTCATTCTCGGGTATTGGATGGTAGGGAAGATTTAGAATTAGGATTTAGAATTAGGCGGTGGAATGACAAAATCTTGGCTGTCCTTTAATGAGCCTGTGTCTCTGTGCAAGGAAGTCACCCTTCAGCATGGGTTTTCTAGTCTGTAAAGGTAAGATCTATGGCCCAGACAGCTATGAGAAGTGGATATGGTATTAGGTATTTATCAGCTTCTGTCTCAACTGCAGACATTTTCATGCTGTTTTGTTTTTTAACTGAAAGCCACAATGCGTTCGCCATTTCAGTTTGCTTTAATCCCAGATTTTAAATGATAAGATCAGATGCCTTCTATTGCAAAGTCTTTCAAGGTTATTTTTTAATGAGATCTAACGATGTTTTTACACAAAATGTTTCAGTACCGTTAATTTTGGCATGTGGTTATTAAATATTATTTTAAATATTATGGTCATTCATATTATTAGGTCTGACTTAGAAAGCTCATTATCTAAAGTGGAAAGTTTTACTGCCTTATGTTTATCGCACGCAGAAATTATGCCGTGAGATGTTACTTCCTTTTTATGCTCTCTCTGCAAAGTTGGTATTTTGAGACAGAGCAGCCACAGGTAACAAGGGTGGAGGGGTACTGAGCCCATCTCTCTGTCATTTGGCTTTCTAAGTGCTCTGTGTCCTGTGGAAGAGGCAGTCAGGCCCGTTATGTGAGCTGCCGAGACGCTCATGATGGAGTGGCCGATGAGTCGCATTGTGCCCACTTGCCCAGGCCTGCGGAAGTCTCTCTCTGCTTCAGCCCTTGTGGAGAATGGCAGGCAGGGGATTGGTCACCGGTAAGTATGCTTATAAGAAGGCAGGCACCGAAAATTTAAATAGAATGTTTGCTATTAATGCAGTCTATTACCTTGTAATACCGGCTCCCTTTCTAATCAGTGTTCAGCTTCCTGTGGACACGGGAAAACCATTCGACGCATTTTATGCATGAACTACCACCAGCCGGTTGACGAGAGTTACTGTGACCCTGGAGTTCGTCCTGAGATTGAACAAGAATGTAGCCTGGCAGCCTGCCCACCCTCATACAGCCACTTTCCCAGCTCCTCTGAGCAGCCAAGCCATTTTCCAGGCAGAAATGTTCCCTTAACTCACAAACCAGAAGAGAATCCAAATCAGGGGGTCCACCCGTCAATCAGAGGAAACCAGTGGAGAACAGGCCCTTGGGGAGCAGTAAGCTGTCTTTATTGAGTTATACTAATTTTGTAACTGAATCGTATTACAGTCCTTTCCCAGATATGTGTGTAATGACATCAAATGTTTTTTAATATGGACGTTATCTGAAAGATCAATAGCTCAGCTCTTCAAAGGCTGAAAGCATTTCGATGCAGATTACAAGCCCCCGGGGTAATCACTAACCACAGTGATTACTGGGGAACATATTTGAAAGCCCCTTGATCAGAGTCCATATCATACAAAAGAGGGCAGAGCCTGGAATAGGTAAGACGGGACATCTGGGAGAAAGCAGCAAAGGCTTGCTGAAGCGTCATTAAAGAAGTCTGGTGGGAGACCTGAGTACGCGGGGGTCGGGGGTCATGAGTGCTCTCGTTAGGAGAGGTCAGGGGGTGTACAGTGGGGTCATTGGCGAGTGACAACATGGGGTGGCTGTTTTAAAATGCCCTCCTAGTGAGACCGTGAGACTTTAATTTCTTTTTACTTAGCATCTATTTTGAGAGTGAAGGGCCACTTTCTAAGGCAAGTTGGAAAGACTTCCTTTTCATCAACAATTTATCTTATTTTTCTTTTAAGACAGAGTCTCACTATGTAGACCAGGATGGCCTGGAACTCATAGAGATCAGCCTGCCCCCTCTGCCTCTGCCTCCTGAGTGCTGGAGATTAAACTCATGTGCTATCAATGCCAAGCTTTCATCAAAAAAAAAAAAAAAAATTCTAATGATGCCCTTGGTAAAAAGTCAAGTGTTTTTGACAGATTTCCGTGCTTAAAATGGTGGCTCCCTGTGGGAGGTTTGACTTGTGACCTTGCTTTGGTGTTGAGCATGCAGTGCGTATTTCTGTTCTGTCTCTGTCATCTCTGTCAGTGCTCCCGAAGCTGTGCAGGAGGTGTTCAGCGCCGGGCTGTAGTCTGCCAAGATGAAGATGGGCACAGTGCTTCTTACTGTGATGCGGCCTCCAAGCCCCCAGAATCAAATCACTGTGGCTCGGGACCCTGTCCACACTGGAATTTTGGGGACTGGGGAGAAGTAAGTCATGCTGTCCTCCAATGTCATCTCGGAATGACTTGAAAGCAACCTGCTTCCTGCTGCTGGGCACTGTGGGATCATCTGATCTCACTATTTTTGTGTGGAAACAGATTTCTAAAAGTTCTTTTGCAGGAAGTACTCTGGTTCCGAGAGAACCTTCCTGAGAGAGCGTGCACCGTGTTATTTGACAAAACCTGATGTGCAGCCAATAGGTGTATGCACTACCACTGTCTTTCAAAAAGTGGACATAAAGCCACTTACACTTCTTAGAAAATTAGATTGACATAGGTACAGGAAACCAGGTTGACATTTGCGCATGCTTTATTCTATTGTATGCCATTCATTTGGCAAATCTCCTTTAAACCAAATAGTTGTAAATTATTAGGCACTTCTTTATGCCCAAGCACTCTTAGACACCACAAATGTGAAGGTTACTTCAGAAATGGTAGCTCTTGTAATTAATAGTACCCCCCCCATGTTTTAGATGGAAAGAGAAAGAGTTATTTAATGCTTTTGTGTAGGCAGATTTTTCTGTCCTACCAGCCAGCTCCCAAATAACCACACAGAGACTTCTTATTAATTATATTAAAGTCCAGCTGATAGCTTAGGTTTGTTTCTTAACTAGCTCTTATAACTTAAATGAACCCGTTTCTATTTATTTACTTTCTGCCTCGTGGCTTCATTACCTTTAGTCTGTACTGCCCATGCTGCTTCCCTGATTCCTCCATGCCTGGCTGGTGACTCTGCCTTCTTCTTCCCAGCATTCTCTCCATGCTGAAAACCCTGCCTAGCTATTGGCCATTTAGCTTTTTATTAAACCAATACAGTGACATATCTTCACACAGTGTAAAGGAATATGCCACATACTTTTGGATGGATAAATTACTCAATTAGTTTTTTTTTTCTTTTTCAGAATGAAGAGAATAATTTTTCTTCATAGGGAATCTGAAAAATTATCCTTTAAAGGGATATTTTAGCTGGCAACTAAATGTATCAAGTTCCTTTTAAAAATATACTTTAAACTCTAGCATGGCAGATAATATTTAAATGTTGAATAAATAAATATAATCTTCTTAGAATTTAGGACTGCATCTCAGTTGCCAGAGTACTTACCTAGTGTGCATGAAACTGTGACTATGACCCCCAGGACCACATAAACTGAGTGTGTTGTGCACCTGTATATAGAGATAAATCCAAGGGAGTCTACAGGTACCCACTACACCCTATAAGTGGGGCAGGAGGGTCAGAAGTTCAAGGTCAACATAGGGCATTCCAGTCAGCCTGGATTACATGAGACCTTACCTCAAGAGAAGAAGATGGAAGAAGTATAATATTCTCTTTGAAGTGAAATGGGTATAAACTTTCCTGTTCTTATTTTCAGTGCACACAAACATGTGGTGGAGGAGTAAAGTCAAGATTTGTGATATGCCAGTTTCCCAATGGCCAAGTGGCCCAAGAATACAACTGTGAACAGCCCAAGCCACCTAGCATGATGCAATGTCATGTGCATGCCTGCCCTGATGATGTCTCCTGGTATCGGGGATCATGGAAATCGGTACGATAGTCACTGTAGTCTTCTTACCATGTTCCTTTTACATGAATTTCCTCTTTGTAAGTGGGAAATTTCACATGCCATCTCTCATATCTGATTACTGCTTCTAACAGTGGACCATCAACTGCCCTGGCATACGTATTAAAAGTCAATAATTAGAGTAGGAATTCGTTCAAGTACTGTAATTACATACATGTATGTAATGGTTTTATATGTATTTACTTTATATGTGAACTTTGAACTAATTGAAATGCTTCCTTCATTGCATCTCTGACCTCCCCCTGATTAATTGAATTTGTGCATAATGTTAGCATTTTACTTGTAATAATGGCAGATTAAGGCTGTGTCTTGTTTGAGTTTACGACTGTATGTGGCTTCTGTTTGTCACTGTCCAATAACAGATCCCAAACCAAATAACATTCTTTTAAAATTTGTTTCCTCGCTATTAAAATTGACTGGCTTAGAAATGTGAAAATAGTAAAGACAAAGCCATTTGCTTACATGAAGTAAATTGCTCACAGGTTGTTAAATACATCATAGAGAAGTATGACTTATGTAGTAATTTATTATGAATATCCATTTTTCCACTGTGTGGACTTACTGTGGTTTAGGAATATTTTGATTTTCTATTTTTTTTGAGTCATAGACAAAACTCATAGATAGTACTAATGGATAGTTTATTTTCTCTAATATTTTTCAAATATCTGAAGTACAATTAATGCACAAATGTATTAAAATTAGCATTTTATCATCTTTAAGTCTTTTAGATCATGAGCAAATGAGTATTATCTTTCAGATAAAAAGCTTATGTAAGACAATGACGTATTTATAACTAAACTCACAAACCGAGCCATTTTTGTTTCAATTAAGGAGAAATCTAGTCACTAACTGGAGGCCCTGTAGTGGCTTTGTTTTTGAACTCAGTGGTGCTGTTTTCCCATGGTGCGTGACTTCAGTGCACAAACCTTAAACATCTACCCCGGATAGGCACTGAAATACCTAACTGTAATGATCCTGAGGTAGATTTTCCATCAGGGCTCAGTGCACTGCCTATTTTGGTATGTTTTATTGGTGCTCATCACATCATTTGTTCCTTACTATCTGTGACAGATGTTACACCACAGTGTCAGAGCAGACTGGAGGGACCACAGTGTCTGAAATGTTTACCATCAGGCCATTTCTTAGAAAATTTTGCTGGTACCTGCTCTGTTTAATGGACAGAACAGCAGTCTAAAGTTTAGGACAGAAATTTCCTTCAAGATAGAGAATATTAGAATTACAGTGTTCAGTTGGAGTCAGTGTTAGTGAGATCCACATAACCTCCTAAAAGTGTCCACCATGGTAGTCACATATATCTGTGTAGTTATTGTGTCGGAATATATCTGACACTGTACATAAATCATGTCCTAAGTGAGAAACCTGGATGTCCATTAAGTCCTCTGTACAAGCAACTTTTCAACCTCATAGAAATAGTCAGTCAAGGCAACAATACCTGAGATTACAAAGCCGTAAGAGAGAATTACAGAAATCCTCAATGTTTGCTACACAACTATTCCAAAAGCAGTTAACTGAGTAATTGTAGTCTTTGCACTAGTGGAGAACTATAGTATCTATATATTTTGATAATTTGAAAATGAAGTTTTAAAAAAGTCTCAATAAATGTTTATTATGCCAGAATTTTTACAAACCTATTTATTTGCATGTGTAAAGATATATATCATTAGAGTGCTTGGATTTCTGTTATTATATGAAGAATATTTATTTTTTCAATTAGTCTTTTATATTAAAAGGACTCAGGATCTGAAGTTTTGATATCAAAACCATATATATGTATATATTTTTGCCTCTTTCAGTATTGCTACATATTAGCCAAATTTCAGAATACCTCTTATAACAGATTAGATTAGTATTCTTTCATGAGTAACATTACTTTCTATAGACACTGCTCATTCAGTTAGAAAATTAAGGGAATGTATATGCATATGCATGAATGAATGGCATTAAATCTTTTAATTTTAATGGAAAAAAGAGTGTGTAAATCATTATTAAAATATTTTAGAAAAAAAGTATGAAAATATTCCTCACTTTTCTTCATGTTCTGGGAAATCTTGTGTTGTATAACAAAAGGAATAAATGGATCATAACACGTGCTTGTTAATTGAATTACTACATTTTTGTTTTTTTTTTTTTTTTTTTTTTTTTTTTTTTTTTT